GTCTTAATAAACAAGTGAATAAATGAGATTTGCCTTTTAGAAAGACTGACTTGGTGACAGAGTGGAATATGATTAGGAGGGAAGTAAGCCTGAAAGTAGGAAAAGTACTTGTAAGAGTTTGGAAAAAGATGTCAGAGCCTGAACCAGTGAGTGGCACATAGGAGCTGGCTGGTACTGGCCTGGACAATCAATTATATATATCTTTTCCCAACTTCAGGAGTAATGATACCAAGTTGGTAGTTTGAAATCAGCCATGGTAGGAGTGTCTATATCACAGACCTCAGCAAACACAAGTTAGGGTTTTCTTTTTGAGACCTGACTTACCAACATATTACTGTCCTGAACAAAAGCAGCAGCAATTGGACTGGAGAAGAAGGAATACTTACTAGAGGGGTTAATGAGGTAGAATCATCAACACTTATCATTAGCTGGTTGATGGGGGAGAAGTTATGTCACCAGCTAGACCCCTGACCTTTACTGCTCACCTGCTAGTACCTACTGACCTTTGTCCCACATTTTTCCTTAAGCTCTTCTTTCTAGCTTCTCTCTTAATTCAGGCAAAAGACACAAGGGGAAGGAAACCGAAACTACCCCTCAAGCAATGACAACTGTCTGGGCAAAGAGTTCAGTCAGCCCAGACTAATTTGAGATTAACCCCAACTCACACCTGCACAGATGGACCATGGAATGACTGACAGTTACCTTTACCTCATTATAATACTAAAATCTCCATCCAAGGAGGAACACAAATCTCATTTACATATGATGTATGTATAGGCATGTTTCTTTAAGGTGCATGCACGACCCTATGCCCACCTCTACATACAATGACAAAGCTTCCCTATCTAAATATTCATCCTAACCCTAAATAAAAGGAACTCATTCACCCTTGCTCAGAGAGTCATAGCTTTGGAAGTTTATTCCCCATCATCTCCTTATTTGCTGCAAATAAAAGTTTACTTTGTGTCATAATTCCATCTAGTATAGTTTCTATCTGTGACTCGCCAAAGACCAAACTCATGTTAGTTCAGTTACAGTGTCAATGGGAGATATTATAAAATGATTTATCAAGTTATTATCTTGGATGATTCAAATGGGATACAGGTGCTTTTTTTTTTTTTTTTTTTTCCATAGCATGTCAGGGTTTTATTTTTTTTTTTTATTTATATATGAAATTTATTGTCAAATTGGTTTCCATACAACCAGTGCTCATCCCAAAAGGTGCCTCTCATAGCCTATCACCCCACCCTCTCTCACTCCTCCACCATCAACCCTAGTTTGTTCTCTCAGGTTCTCACAGTCTTATGTTTTGGCTCTTCCCACTCAGAATCTTTTTTTTTTTTTTTTTTCCTTCCTCCCCCATGGTCCTGTATTAAGTTTCTCAGGATCCACATAAGAGGGGGTGAAAGCCATAGGATTCTTTCTCTGTATGGTTTATTTCTTAGCATCACACTCTCCAGTTCCATCCTTGCAATAACAAAGGCCTATTTCATTTTTCTCATTGCTCACATAGTATTCCAGTTTATATAATAAAACTTTCTTTATCCGATTCACCAGTTGATGGACATTTAGCTCTTTCCATATTTGGCTATTGTTGAGAGTACTGCTATGAACATTAGGTAAAGTGCCCCTATGCATCAGTACTCCTGTGTCCTCTTGGATAAATTACGTAGCAATGCTATTGCTGGGTCATAGGGCCAGTCTATTTTACTTTTCTGAGGAACCTCACACTGCTTTCCAGAGCTGGCTGCACCCGATGCTTCACCAACCAGTGCAAGAGGGTTCCCGCTTTCTCCACATCCTCTCCAGCATATAGTCTCCTGATTTGTTCATTTTTTGGCACTCTGACTGGCGATGAGGTGATACCTGAGTGTGGTTTGATTTGTATTTCCTGATAAGGAGCTCGCTGAACATCTTCTCATGTGCCTGTTCATCCGAGATGTTCTTTAGAGAAGGTCTATTCATGTTTTTCCCCATTTCTTCCACTGGTTTATTTTCTGCGTGTGAGTTTTGGTGAGCTCTTTGTAGATTTTGGATACTAGCCCTTTGTCCCATGATAATGTCATTTGCAAATATCTTTTCCATTCCAGTTGGTTGCCTTTTTAGTTTGTGGTTGTTTCTTTGCTGTGCAGAAGCTTTTTTTTATCTTCATAGTCCCAGTAATTCATTTTTGCTTTTAATTCCTCTTGCCTTTGGGGGATATGTGAAGTAGAGAGAATTCATACGGGCTGAGGTCAGAGAGGTTCCCTTTTCTCCTCTTAAGAGTTTTGATGGTTTCTGCTCTCCAGACCATCCTTATCCATTTGAGTTTATTTTTGTGAATGCGTGAGAAAGTGGTTAGGTTTCAGCTTTGCACGCTGTCCAGTTCTCCCAACACCATTTGTTAAAGAGACTGTCTTTTTCCATTGGATGTTCTTTCCTGCTTTGTCAAAGATGGGAGTTGTGCCATGCTTTACAGGTCTAGTTCGTGGGGTTTTCCTTTCTATTCTATTCCATTGGTCTATGTGTCTGTTTTTGTGCCACAGGTGCTTCTTAAGAAGAGAAGTTGTTCAAAACAGGAGAAAGATAGTGAATTATGTTAATGAAAAATTGAAGTATCTGTGAGACATGATGGTAAAAATGTCCAGAAGACAGTGTTTATGTAGATTTGGGACTAAAATGGATTCAATATAAGATATGGGAACCATGAGGATATAACTGATAGCTGAAGTCATGGGAGTAGATAAACTTTTAAAACAAAATAAAAGAACAGAACCCTAGGAAGGGCTGTGGTAAGTCTTCATGTTTCATAAGTGAAACTCAAAGATAGTTTGAGTAAGCAGGTAGAATTATATTTTCTTTGTAAATGTTGCATTTGGAATAAAATTTTGCTGCAATGTAAATGACTGTTAAGGAATATTGGTATTTGCTGAAAACAAATATTATAGACCAGATTTATAAGACCTTTACAGTAAGATCAAAATGACACTCTAAAAAAACAAAAAGATTTTTTAAATATCCAAAAGAAGTTTTGTGGGAAATCAAATAGCTATGTCTTGGTTAAGGAGATTATAGGGAATGCGTTACACTGCTTTCTGGCCCTGCTGAAAACAGCTGACCAGTATCTAGTTAGTGCATATTTAGGGGTTGGGTCTTTCCTGTGCTCATGAATTCCTTAGACCATGTTATCTATGGAATATCTTATCTTGTTCTCCACCCTGCTTTCTGCATCTGCTCTTTGGTGGTCTTGGGAATGCCTTGTTTTTTGTGCACACTTTCTATAGATCTTACTGGCACATAGCCAAAGACATATTGTGCAATGTTCTCCCTATAATGTATGCTTAATACATACAGGAGCTGGAGATCATGTCGGGGAGATTTCCCTTAGCCTCCCTCTCATCTCTCTTGACTTGCATGGAGTCTTGAGTAATCTTTTCTGCTGAACCCACAATTGATGATAGGCTAAAGCTGCAATTGGTGACCCCAATGTGATAAGCCGAACCTGCAATAGTTTTTTTAGCAAATAACTGAAAGAACAAAAATATTCTAGAAAATATAGAGAAAACAAATTATTTCAGAACCCAGCTAAAATGTTATAAGGAAGCATATTCTATACTTACCTCTGCCTTGGCAGTGCATTATAATTGTTTATTTCCTTCTGTCAGACTTTATTGGGAGTGGGGGAATGTTGTGTCTTTTACCTAAGTTTGGGGCCTTGTACGTAGTTATGTAATCAGAAAAAAAAAAGCTGTTTTTCCATGTCAAGACGAGAAGTTTGAACAGATGACATGGAAAGTTCCTTTCAACCCTGAGAGACTAAGAAAAGGGAGTAGTGATAGTTGTTTACATACCACTTAAAAGTGGGCTTTTCCTTTGTTGCATCAAGGGCCAATGTTTCAAAGCTACAGAAAGCAGTTGACTCTCAGCTTAATATTACAGTGGTAAGAATTTTCTAACAAATATAGCTACCCAATAGAGGCTGTTTCAGAAGGAAATAATTGGAATATAAAAGCTGATCCTTATATACGTTTAGTTTAGGTCTTCCCAATCTTTTTCATGTCATTGCCGACACAGAAAATGGTTATACAGCATATCGATCAATATCTCAAGGCATATTTGTCACACTTTCTCAGGACTTCGAAAGAACTAATCTAGTCTAACATCCTCATCTGCAATGAGGGAAAGTGAGTCTTAGGGAATGCTACATTTCCGGATCAAGACTTTAACGTTAATAATGGGAATAGAGTCTTTGCACGACTAATCAGCCAAAGTTTCCTCCCTACTAATTAAGCAGGGTTGGATGTCAGGGTTGAAGACTGGGTCTGGGATAGTTGCAGTGGAGGGGACGAGGGTCTAGTTCAGTATTGCTTTAAATGTGGTCCTATGACCACTGGCATCAGAAATTGTTAAACAATGAGGAACCTGTTGAAAACAGAGTCACGGGCCTCACAGATATACTGAATCAGGCACTGCATCAAGTCCAGGAAATCTGCATTTTTAGGTTTGAAACGTGCCCCACTTCCCCCGGCCCCATCAGTGTTTTGGATACTGAGCGTCAGTTGGGGCCTGAACTCAGCGGCTCTGCTGGTCGCGCAGCACCCGCCAGCTTGACCTCGGAGCAGCGCAGGCCGCACAGCTATCCCGCGTCCTAACGGTAAAACTGTTACGTACTGGCCCTTTCGGTCGTCACAGGCGGACGCCAGCCAGCCCAGCACTGTCGCGGTGAGGTGGCCACAGTGCCTCCATCAGCCTCCAGGCCGGGCGGAGGAACTGAATGCGGAGGAGAGGGCCGGGGGCAGAGGTGCGCTCAGCTGCGCCTCCTCTAGGCCAGGGCCCTCCGCAGGCAAGCCGGGCTGCGGTTTCCTTCTCCGCCCCCGAGCCCTCCTGCTTTGCAGCCCCACCCACCGGGAAGCTACTACAGCGCCTGCGTCAATTCTGCCCTGCCTAGTTCCCCGGCTACTGACCGGATGTTAGCCGATTTCCCATAGTGCCTTGCGAGTGGCGGGCATGAGAGTAAACTACAGAGGGTCACCAGCGGGTTTTGTTCGTCATTGTTGGAGTTCTGTTGTGCCGCGGGGGTGTAGGAGGGTGGCGCCTGGTCGCTGCCTTGTAAGTTGGTGCAATGGCGCTTTTCCGGGGCGTGTGGAGCGTGCTGAGTGCACTGGGAAAGTCCGGAGCGGACCTCTGCGCGGGCTGTGGAAGTCGACTGCGCTCTCCCTTCAGGTAAGGACCTCTCGCCTGCACTTCAGGAGGCGGCACGGCTCAGGACGGTCTGGGTTGGAGTGTAGACGTTTTCGGACACTTTTTTGTGTCTCCTAGGTGGTCCGGGCCACCGTGGCGCTTTGAATCATGCCTCGACTTTGCGAAGGGGCTGGTGGTTTTGCGACCAGGCCTTATCCAGCAGTCTTACTTTCCGGCCACCCTCCACCTTTCCTCTTCCTTCCCGCCGCTCCGCGCTGTCCAACCTTGTAGCCCTCGTTCAGAGTTCTCTGCGAAGTCGCGCGCCAAAGAGTCTCTCTCCATCAGTAGAGGCGTTGAGGAGGCAGGGTCCAGGAGCTGAAGTGCTGATGCTTTCCTCCACTCTGCCCTTCTTAACAGGCATAGATGGAGCTTTGAGAGTTCAGTTTTGCAGGTCTTTTCTCTGGTTAGGACAGGGTTTTAAAAGTCACTAACACCGTGCCATATATAGCATCCTGATGGCGTCTTTTTGGGGGGAATCTGTGTTCATCTAAAAGTGAATATTGGCACTTAAATACTTGATATTGGTTATTTTCTTTATACGTAGTTTTGCATATGTACCGAGATGTTTTTCATCCACCGTGAATAGTTATCCGAAGAAGCCTCTGACTTCATACGTTCGATTTTCTAAAGAACAGCTACCCATATTTAAAGCTCAGAACCCAGGTAAGGAGTTTTGGAGCATTTACTGTTTTCTGATGTAATAAAGAAGCCACTAAACAGTTTTACTTCAAACTTGATTTGCACTTTGAAAGCATCCAGTGACTGCGGAAACATCACCATTAACGTTTAGTGGTCTGTAAAGTATGACATTTTTTACCAAGTACAAATTCCTTATAAATAATTGAGCTAATGAAAGGTATTTTTATTTGTTTCCTATTACTATGTATATTTTATTGAGGTATAGTTGAAGCACAGTGTTACACTAGTTTCAGGTGTACAACATAGTGGTGACTGGACAACTGTATACATTATGCTATGCTGACCACAAGTGTAGCTGCCATCAATCACCATACAAGACTATTACAATACCATTGACTTTATCCTCCTGACTTACTCATTTAATGAAAAGTATTTTAAAAATAGCAGCATGTGGAGTGGAAGCACCCAGGGAAGAAGATGAAAAAGCTGAATTTTGGGGGTCTAGTTGCCATTGGCCTGGAGCACCATTGATGAATCATTTTATTACTTGCTTTAGCTCCTGCTTCAGGGAATTGTTAATGAAGTTGCAATGAAATAATAACTTATGTGGATGTGTTCTGTAAACTGTAAAGCTCTATACAAATTGCTAATTCCAAGAGGTTTTTCACTGGAAATCAGTTGACTTCCTGAAAAAAAAAAAAGATTTCCAGGTAGGATTTTTGTTGACTCCCTAGAAAGGCTGTGGGCCTTCATTTGTGATTATAGTAGTGTAAAGATAATAACTAAATTAAGAATAGTCAACTTTATGATTTCTAGAGCCCTTTCATAGAAAGGGCTCTACTTGTGAAAACCAAATGAACTGTAATGAAAATTCCTACATTATAAAGAATTGGTTTAAGAGACATGTTTAAGAAGTACTCACATGTTTTAAAATGTTGTAGTTCAAACTAAGTGGTTTGTTAAAATGCCACTCCAGTTAAGATGAGGAAGGAAATGGGGAATAATGATCAGTTAAGATGAGGAAGGAAATGGGGAATAATGAATTGATTTTAGAATAGCTTGTTGCAAGTAGTGTTTCTGTAACTGAAATACAAGGCAGTGTTACATGAATCAAGATTATATTTTATTGTTGAGTCAGGTTTTATGAACTTAATAATTCCTGAAAGATGGGAAAAAATTTTTTGTTTGAAATATGAAGTAAAAAGCTTGAAGACAGTGATTACCCAACTGCTTAAACTAATAATTTTGGGGGGGTATGTGACATATTTCTTAATTATTAGGTAATAGACTTTAACAATTCTGGATCAAGTATGAAATTAAAGAAAACCTAAATCATTGTATTAAATTATATGTGGTATAGAGGTGTCTGTAATAAAACTTAGAGCTAAAGCTAGATTTCCTAGAAGTCTTTAGAAATTAATCCTGAGACATAAAATTGTGACTTTTTCATTTTATTTCAATCTATAGATGCGAAAAATTCAGAACTAATTAGAAAAATTGCCCAGCTATGGAGGGAACTTCCTGATTCAGAGAAAAAAGTAAGCATATTGGTTTTCAGTATTGCTGACCAGTTATTCTGCAGTTAAGAATATGGGGTGCCTGGGTGGCGCAGTCGGTTAAGCGTCCGACTTCAGCCAGGTCACGATCTCGCGTTCTGTGAGTTCGAGCCCCGCGTCAGGCTCTGGGCTGATGGCTCAGAGCCTGGAGCCTGTTTCCGATTCTGTGTCTCCCTCTCTCTCTGCCCCTCCCCCGTTCATGCTCTGTCTCTCTCTGTCCCAAAAATAAATAAACGTTGAAAAAAAAAAAAAAAAAAAGAATAATAGTCATGTCCTTTAAGGGACTAGATGATTAAAAAAATTTTTTTAATATCTGTTACCTATAAAGGAACTTCATACTTTCTGATTCATAATGATTAGAAAATGGATGTATGGCAGTGGCAACAAAGGGTTGGCAATATCTGAAACTGAAGACTAGTTGTTAGACTGTCACCTTTGTTAACATTTTTATGAAAAAAACATGTTTTTAGTCCATATACATGTGATTCCAGAGCACATGTTTCACTTGGTGGTTCAGTCTGTCTTTTAATTTTTTTTTAATTTTTATTTATTTTTAATGTTTATTTTTTTTAATTTTTTTTAATGTTTATTTATTTCTGAGACAGAGACAGAGCATGAGTGGGGGAGGGGCAGAGAGAGAGGGAGACACAGAATCAGAAGCAGGCTCCAGGCTCCGAGCTGTCAGCACAGAGCCCGATGTGGGGCTCGAACTCAGAAGTTGTGAGATCATGACCTGAGCTGAAGTCGGACGCTCAACTGACTGAGCCACCCAGGTGCCCCTAGTCTGTCTTTATCTGATGTCATGCAATTGTCTTTCCCTGGCGTTTGTGCTGTGTTTGATTTATCAGCAGTAATTTATTGACTTCATGTTTGGGTTTTTTACTTATAGATATATGAAGATGCTTACAGGGCAGACTGGCAGGCATACAAAGAAGAGATAAACAGAATTCAAGAACAGTTAACTCCAAGTCAGATTGTATCTTTGGAAAAAGAAATCCAGCAAAAACGTTTAAAAAAGAAAGCATTAATAAAAAAGAGAGTGAGTATCAGTGAAATATTTTTTTCCTTTGGCAAAGAACTGAAATTTATAGAACAATGAATATTGGGAGTTTTTCTTATTTTGATATATGTGGCTAAATGGTAGAATGTCATCAGGAGTACCCCAGTTAGGAAAAAATGGGATAACTCTTTTCTGCCACTAGGACCACTTGGCATTGAGTCTGTCTTGGAACCCCTTGTTACTACTTTTGAATGTATCCAAATTTAAGATATGTAGTTAGGACTAGAATGAAAGCTGAAGGAACAGAGTTATGAAACAGCCAAATCAGGAATAGCAAGAATCTTTGTGTCTGTGTCTTGTCTAGGATAACCTGCTGATTTGAATTGTTTTATAGGTAATGGTGAGTTTGATTATGGATGAGTTTCATTATGGATGTTGCTAAATAGACTGATTTCATTAACACATCAGGAAAAAATGCCTTTATTGTATCTAGTCAAATAAGAAGTCCTATAGGATGAACTACTTTTCCTCATTAAACACCCCACATGGTTCAGATTTGTAGTCTGGTCCCAGTTTAAGGTTATTAATCCACATAAATACTATTGCTTGAAAGACTACATTTTTCTGTAGGAACAGTATTAGGTATGAGATGGTCAGCTTGCTGGTCCAGTACATATACTGTAGAAAATGGTCATCAGAGTTAAAACTATTTCTTTGAAAAAGTAAATTTGAGACTTTAATGTGAGATGACAACATATGTCTCCCTGACTCTTGTTGAGCTCTCCTAGCACCAGAGTTCAGGACTCACCTATTTTAAGTCAGTAATCTAAATAGCAATCTAGTCTTCTGATCCAATTAGTAAAAAGGAGCTAGAAAAGACAATAGAAATACAGTGTCTGCATAGGGGTAAGTATTTGGAGGGCTGGGTACTGAAGTTTATTCTCCCTCCTTTATTCTCCCTTCCTTTTTAATGCACCCATCCAATGTAAGAGTGGAGAGACCAGAAATGAGGATTGGGCAGTAATACGGGATTTCCCTTTCATATATTTCTTTTTCTCTTTCTCCTCCTAGTATTCCCATTTTATGTTTGTTACACCTGTTCTAAGTTGTCCTATAGTCCTTGGATAGTCTTCAGTTTTTGGTTTATTTTCAGTCTTTGTTCTCTTTGTTTTGGATTTTTGAGGATTCTATTATTACATCCTTTAGCCCAGTGATTCTTTCTTCAGCCATGTCCAGTCTACTAATAAACCCATTAAAGACATTCTTCGTTTCATTACAACATTCTTGTCCCTCTCCTCTCTCTCCTTTCTCTCCTTTCTCTCCTTTCTCTCCTTTCTCTCCTCTCTCTCTCTCTTTTTTTTTTTTAATAGGTGCCATATCCAGCTTGGAGCCCAGTCTCCTGAGCTGAGATTAAGAGTCAGATACTTAACTGACTGAGCCACCCAGGCACCTCTGTTACAGCATTTTTGATCTCTAACTTTTTTTGTTTTTTGGTTTTTTTTGGTTACTTCTTGGGATTTCCATCTCCGAGCTTTACATTGCTAATCTGTTCTTGCATGCAATCTGGAGCCTTTAGCATACTAATCTAGTTGTTTTAAATTCCCGGTCTGATAATTTCAACATCCCTCCCATTTCTGGTTCTGATGCTTGCTTTGTCTCTTCATATTATGTTTTTTGCCTTTTAGTCTGCCTTGGAAGTTTGTTCTTGATTGATGGACATAATGTACTGAGTAAAAGGAACTGCTGTAAATAGGCCTTAGCAATGTGGTGGTGAGGTGTGGGGGTCAAGAAAAGCATTCTGTAGTCCTACAATTAGGTCCCGATCTTTTAGTGAGCCTATGCAACTGGTCTGTGAACTTCACAAGAGTTTCTCAGTTCACTCTTCCACACTCCCCCTCCCCATTAGGTGTGAGTCAGGATGACTAGAGTGTGCAGGAGTTGGGTGTTTTCCCTTCATGCAGGTAAGTTAGGCTCTGGTTAACTAGTTTCCCCTGAAGGCAGGCCTTGTTAATAGTTGAGTTGAGTGCTCAGGCATTTCAAAATAGTTTCTTTTCCTCTCTTCCTTTCTTACAGAAGCAGGGGAAATATTTTTTCTGGTATTAATTGTGGAAATCTGGTTTAGCTCCTAGAAGTAGATCACAATACTGTGAGGACTGTCTTTTTTTTTTTTTTTTT